GATATATCTGAGACCTATGCTATTGCCTAAAAATAGCATGATAGGTGCACTTTAATACAAATCTGTAAAGTAACTAAAGGTATTAAATAAATGTAGTGGAGTAGTTCATGATTTACCTTTGAATTGTAGTGGAGCAGAAGTACAAAGTAGCAGAAAATGGAAACACTCAAGTAAAGTACAAGTACAATTACACTGTAGTTTTCATAGCTCACTGACAACTCAAGGTCAGAATGATAATGTGTCTTTGGATGAGTTTGTGCCAGGCTGATGACTCACCGATGATGTAGCAGCGGTCATCGGCTATGAGGAACTTGCTGTGAACGTAGATGAGCTCCGTGACGAGAGACTCGCAGAGCTGAGAGTGTGTTCTCAGGCCGCAGAACGAGATGTACTCCGTCCACTGGTCCATCACTGTTATTGGGAGACATAAAGAAAAATACCGTAAAGATTTATCAAGAAAGATACACATACAGTATTCTTAAGGTGAATGACAGGAAGAAGGGTGAAAATGGAGATTGGTGAGAAGATACCTAGTAAAAGTAGCTTCAGTTTAAAGTAGCAACACAAAGAGAAAGAAAGAAACATGTTAGAGAGGAAACCGGCGGTCATTTTGTGATATCTGGTTGTTAATGAGAGCAAATGAGTGAGAGAAAACTCACCTTCATTAAGTCTTGACAGTATGGAGTGCTCTCCTCGGCACATGGTCCTAGGACATTAGTTATTTAAAAGATGTTAATTAACACACACAATAGTAAGTTGGTTATCAATGTAAGTTGTTTATTCTGGCCTGTAATGGCAGCCTGGTGACAGGAGATGAAGGCTCTCACCTGTAAGTGAAGTGAAGAATCGCTCGAATCGCAACTCCGGTTCCTGACGCGATGTCTCCCTCGAATCCAGGAAGCAGAGGAACCACAACAAACACTCTGTACTTCTTCTGCTCACTGTAGAGAAGCACAATGGCAACAAGTAATGGTACTATTTAAACATCAATACAAGTTTCTCATTCATCATCACAATCATATCTCTGTTTCAATGATTGACGGCTATAAGGGGAAATTAAAAGCTATATAGAGGATCAACGTCCTGTCAGGCAGCAGGCTAACACTTAAAACTGGCATTTCCTTGTCAGTCTTTTATATTTCAATGCAGCATATACATATTGTATTTTACTCCACTGCATTTAAATGACTGTTGTAGTTACTAGGAACTTCGTACCTTTATGAAATGTGCTTTTATATGATATATATATACCGTAATTTTCGGACTATAAGCCGCGCCTTTTTCCCCATTTTTCGACCCTGCGGCTTATATAACGGTGCGGCTAATCTATGGATTTGTACAGCTAACGGCCACTAGGGGACCTCCTAAATCTATGGATTTTACAGGTTACAGTCCACCACCTTTAACTCTATGGGCTCTATGGCCGGTCCGCGCCCCCACCTTTAAGCGGCGGGCTCCAGCAGGAAAAGCTGGAGGCCTGAAAAGAGTGAGACAGGTAGCGTGCAAAAGTAAAAGTGGAACCGAGAGTGGTACGAGAGACAGAACGAGAGCAAGACAGACAGACATTACGAGAGCGAGACAGTTTGTCCCCGTACCACTGGTTGAAAACCACTGCTGTAGATCACTGCCGGTACGTGCGCTGGGAGCGCACCGTTTAAGTTTGAAAGTTGAAAAGTTTGTGTGTCTGAAACGCTATGTGATACAGTACAGTTTACACAGCACAGCACATGTTCTGTAGCTACTATTGCACTAAATGGTAACACTTGAATACGTTATGCAAATATGCAACTTGTTTGTTGAAATGTTAATAAATGGGAGCTTCCTCAAACAGCCATCTCTTTCCCGACAATCCCCTCTGTGCACGAACCCTTACATATGGTAATTAAACATTAAAACACCTGCGGCTTATAGTCCAGTGCGGCTTATATATGTACACATCATTCAATTTAGCTGCTGCGGCTTATATTCAGGTGCGCCTTATAGTCCGAAAATTACGGTAAATCCAGCGTTGGGTTGTAACGTAATACATGTAACGGCCAAAATCAAGTAACTGTATTCAGCCCGCGTTACATTTGAAAAAATAGTAATCTGATTACAGTTACTTTCGCAAACCTGAAGTGAATACATTTTGGATTGATTATTGGAATTATTGGTGGAAAGATTTCCTCACAACATTTAATATTCATTATTAAAAAATGTGCGGGTCCGCTCAGTG